AACAGCAGAAGTTTGGGAAGGACAAAGTGTTAAAGTGATAAATTGGTAAGGAAGAAACGATTGGCTGGACTGAATTTTAAAATATAAAACAGATGCGGTTTAATAAAAAAAACTACAAAGATTAAACACTTCCTGTCTGTGGTAGAATAACTTTTATTTTACTGCAGCACACTCATGAGCTCTGCCTCTCAAAGTTAGTATATTATAATATAGAACCAAAAACAGTTCAATAAAAGCAAAAGTACAAATTTAAAGAAAGCATTATGAGGAGCCTATAGGCAATCTTGGCTGTTTTTTCTATTTCTGAGGTTAAAGGAACAATTAGGAACTTACGCAAGAAAACAATCAAGCACTGCATGCAGAGTCAAAAAAGTATAACACAAAATCAATATTAACTTTAAGTTTATTAAAGATGTGTCCATTGTACAGATTGAATTACAATGTTAACAATGGTTTGCACTGGATACTGGTGGCCTGTTGCTTAGAGCCAAAAACATAACATTTACATGGGAAGCAGCAAAGTAATCATCTAAATCAACACAGAGTCAGAGTCAGAGTGAAAACTAGTCAACAGTTTGAATGAATCTTTCACAGAAAGAAATTAGCAATCACCAAATGGGATTTTCTTTAAAAATGCTGGAAGCAAAATTTGAATTTTGACACAATGATCTCATCTCATCTCCATGCCTCCTCAAAAGATCAGGCGACAACACAACAGTCATTACTTAAGAGCATGCGTTCTGAGCATCTTTTTCCTCTGGCACAAATTACACTGGACTTCCCAAAGACAGTTTTTCGTTAAATAAAAAATAAATTCCTGACTTTCTTTTAAGTTAATCACAATACACAGAGTATCTGTTATATGTACAAACAGTGACAGTATAACCAGGTGAATCACAATCAGTCAGATTTGTTTCTGGCATTCTGGTATTTCAGTACAAGACACATGAACAAATACTTGTGTACTGAAAATATACTTGTTAATTTCAAACTAAAAATCTAACGAAGTACTCTGGGAATAAATCTTTATGCGATTTAAAACCAGTTAGGCAGTGGAAACATATCTGTTTTTGTGAACAGTTGAGGTTTTATCTTGGTTGCCATTAACGGCTCAAACCAGAGGCAGCACTAAAACAACTGGGTGTTGATTTATTGCTTCAGTGGTTGCGTGATGAAAATGGCACCTCTTAGTTGACTTAAAAAGAGATTTGCCTTGAAGCCTTAAATTGGGTGTGAATATTTGAATGAGCACCAGCATATAGGTATTTTAGACAATTTACTGATTCACAAGAACTTGTATCATAGTTCATACGGTCACAAAAATTATGTTAACACCATACGCAGTGGTTTTCCCATGTTAAGTAATATAAATTAAAAGAAAGGTTTACATTAGGCATAAAAGTTGTTTAGTCTATGTTATTAGATAAATGATGAAAATACAAACGTCTGATAACAGACAAAAAAAACCCATATGTACAAACTACAAAAAATAGGCATGTTTCATACAAAAACTTTACAGAATCTGAATACTCTTCCTTTACTTTCCTCTACAGGACAGATAAGTGCTTTACATGAACCTGTGCAATATGTCATATTGCATTACAAAACTGAAAATATACTTAGTGTTAAATTAGCTTATGAAGCAATTGCATTGATGGGCATTAGTTATTAGAATGAGTAGAGAGATTCGTATATTACATTCTACGATATCACAGAATTTCCTTTTTTGTACATTTAAAAACAATAGATAGAAACAGACAGAATTTCATTGCATTGTCTTGCACTTGTCTTGAATATAGTCACTGAAGACTATAATATGTGCCATGGCCACATGTTTCACAGTAGCACGGTCAAAAGACCACATGCTTTACTTTGCAAAGGAGTTTGGCACAGGAGATTTTTGCATACCCTATTTGTGCTATTTTTGCATGCTCTGGATGGTTTTACCATATATAGTCTGCATTTTCTGGTGCAAAATGTCCACTGTACTTGAGGTCAGAAAACAACCTTTAGCCACATAGCTAGATAGAATCTTATTTAAAGTTGTAGTCTAAGTACAACTAATACTGCATGCTACGAGCAGAACAGAAACCGCAGCAAAGGGCCCATCTAGGATTTCAAAAGCTGAACTAAATTGGCAATTTATGTTTTATTGTCTGCTATTTAGGCAATAGCTGAAATAGTTGATTTACTAATTGATATCCTTTAGAATATACATGATGGGTGTAGGTTAAAGGCAAGAATGGTAGCCAGTCGAAGGAATCAGTTAGTTCTGCCTTGGTGCCTTTAGAGAACCAACAAACATGTTTTGAGAAACATTTTGTAGCATAACAAAAAAATCTAAAGAAATATATACTCATGCTGTTTGCAAGGTTTACTATGTGTATGCATTAGAGTCAGTACACTTGCAAATGTGAGTTCGTTTAATTCCCAACCAGCTGCTGAATTTCATCACAGAATTATTTTGGTTTTGCTTTTTTTGTTTGTTTGTTTTTTTAAATCTCTTTTCTTTTTTCACTCAGCAGTCTCATTAGCAATTGATCCTAAGGTTGTCATTTTTAGTCCTCTGTTTTTATCTCCGTCTCCCTGACTACTTTTGTTATCACTCCTAAATGTTAGCACAGCTTGTTTCTTTGTGTTTACTGTAGAAAAAAAAACATTCATTTCCTTTGAATTGAATTATTTTTTTAAGGATCACCTGTGAGTTAGGAGCCATCTTGATTTACCATATTAGGAAAAGCTTGATGGCTTCATTCATCTTCACATTTATGCTAAAGCTGCTTCATGCTAGATTCAGCAGTTTCTTCAGCTCATCTTGGCTGGCTGTGGGTCTTCCTCTCCGTCAATAGTGCCTTCAGGAAGTACTTTGTTCCAGTAATTGCATTGGTCAAAAGTATCAGAGTGAGGGAAGTCTGCTTCCTCACCTTGCATGAAGACCGGAAAGACATGATCCACCATATCACACAAACGGCCATAGCTGAGAAAGAAACACAAGACTTTTGTCATTTTTCCTGTTGGAAGGCAGAATTCAGACATCAAAACATCGCCATGCATGTGGCACTGATGAAAACCAAAAAGCAACTAGGCATATAGCTTACGAGGAAATATTTGTTTTGGCATGCTCCTGCACCAGCTCCCCCTTAGGATTGACAGTGAAAATCCTGTTGAGTGGAACGCCCACCTCCTTATAGGAATAGACATCCTGAAATAACACCAACAACCAGCATGCTTTAAAAATCACTGAGGCAAAAATACGAGCGAGTAATCCACACTGCGGATGTCAGTGCAGTATTCTCACCGTAGCTCTGTTGCCAAAAGCAGCGTAGAATGGTTCAGTGTTCGGGTAGAAAAGGTGCTTGATGTCTGTGAGACACTCAATCTTAAACTTCTCGGGCTTCTTCTCAATCACCTCCCTAAATACAACATAATGTTGAACATTCTTTTTTTTTTTGTCGTCATTGTAAATCTGCCTCAGCTAACTTTTTTCAAAGGGTACATCTAAGTAATAACCACTAACTTGCCAGAGTAAATACTTTTGCCGTAGTTTAAATATGCAAAAACAATAAAGGTTACCTATTATTACCTGCAACTAAATATTTTAGGTTTTGTGTCAATGGCCAAAAATAATCTAGAGTAGAATTTTTCTACCCCTTGCTGTATATCTGACCTGTGCAAGGCAGAAAAAAGACTGCTTGGGCTGAGCAGCACTGGGCCCATTGGCAGCATGGTTCCCCTTTCATTGACCCAGTGGAGGTAACCTCTTGTCATGTCAGCCATGCCAATGGCCCTTGCAGAACAGTACATGAATTTATATCCATTTCTGTAACAAACAAAAGAAAATATGAGAGACAGAAACATAGCATTGTGCTCCACCCAAAAATATTGTATTTTAGCTGGAGGACAATAAGCAGCACTCACAGGCTGACTCTGTGGTAGAGCCGTGCGATGCCCTGGTGTGTCCAGTCTTTACCCAGTGTAGGGAGGATGTGGCCCAGAGTGTCTGATCTACAGCGTAACGTAAGACAGACAACGTCACAGAATAAAGCTGTCCCTTTGAACCCAAAAACTGTGTAAAGTCTGACTCCTGCTGGTAATATGATAGAACTGAACAGGATGTAGGCCACTAAGTGTTATTTCACACCTTGTAATGGTTCCATCTATATCGGAGATGACTATCTTGTCATCCCAGCTCCAAAGATAGATTGTGCCATGACATCGGCACGTGCCTTGATACTGAGTGGTCACGCTGAACACCACTTCATTAGGACCCTCCTTTAGCTGCAGGCTAGCCTGTAAACACACAGATGAGGAAGGTTGAGAAGTTTTCTTGAGGTTTTGGACGTATTTCTATTTTCACTTTGCCTCGACTGCAACAGTAATTTAAACTCTGAGATGGTCTTATTAAAGACAGTGTATTATTGTTTGTTACTGTACAGATTTCTTCTATATGTAGTGAACCACATGAGCAAAATATCTTAAATAAGGTCATTTGTATTCCTGTTTATGTCAATAAAAGCAAGTGTAGAAACAAACACTGTACCAGCTGCTCTGACGTGAGCCGAAGAGTCTTCTTGTAACAAATGCCACCAGAACTTTCAAGGGGCTCCGACTGAAAGACTCCTGATAGCTGACTGGATGATTTGTGGTCTTCATCACTTGAGGATGATTCATCCTTCAGCCTGAATTATACAAGACAAAAATGCTCATATAAGATTAAACAAGTAGGAAAAATATGTCAATAGGTGTGGAGAGAAAAATACACAGTTTTAAAGTCTAACGTCACCTGTTTACTGGGGCCATTGTTATGGAAGTCTCGTCTTGGTCTCCAGCTGCTTCTGTCACTGATTCCTGAGGAACAAAAAGGTCAAAGGTCACATGTATGACCCAAGGAAGAAATTTGACTAATCCTTTCCCCGTTCTTCCTAATGTCCAGTAAATGATACGGTGAATCATAGATAAACAAGTTCATCATCTGCATATCTATCTGTGCACTTACTGACTTATAGTCATTGTTCCTGCTTCTCCACGAGAACCACCAGCGTCCTCCTTTCTTTGGCATCTTGTCCTTCATAATGTTCTCCACCGATGCCTGGAGACAATCATGCACATACAACTCAAAACTGACCGAAAATGTAACTTAAAGCTGACAAAAAAGAGAGAGAGCACAAGAAAGCACAAAAAGAAAATCTAAAAGGCAAAGTAAAATATGACAAACACCACATTTCAAACCACACTAAACTCCAGCTAACTTGCTTGAAAAACAATTAGAATTGAAAACAATAAGACATGCAAATCGAAAAATAGCAGATGCTAGATTAAATGAAAAGGAAGATGATGTTCATGGTTGGACTCAAGTGAAAATATGGGGAAAAAGAGAGGCTGACAGAAAGGGTAACAATGATAAAGCAACAACGCAGGCAGATAAAGTCATGCCCCGACCAACACATAAGCAAAGCCAGAAAACATCATACAGGCTGGGAAGGACTGGAGCCAAACAGACCAGGGAGGCAGTATGAGAAGAAGCCAAAAGCAGAAAACACATAACTCAAACACCAACACTTGGTAAATATAAACATCGGGTGGATGGTGAAAGAAAGAATGGGTTTAAATAAAAGGGAAAAATAAGAAGGGGGACAAAGACATGACATTAATCAAGTGTTAGGTCAATGAATTTACCACAACAGTTCACTGTGATATAGGACTGGCAAATATGCTATAAGCTCTTCCATGCGTCGAGTAATTTTGATTGGTAGCATGTAAGTTTTGTTCACTTGGGATAAAGTGAAAACATTTAAATCTTCACTTAGTTTTGAAATATTGATTATTGAAACAAGAAATGAGTGTGAACGCATTTCAGTTGGTATTATTTTGTTGTATTAATGAGAGGTGGCTGGCAAACAACAATAGTGAACCAGAGTGAAAAAAACAGATTAAGAATAAATTGTAAAATGCCAGAAATGCTCTGGAGTAAAGGTGGTCCATAACATTGCAACACAACAAACACACCATATAACAAATAACAATATTGAATACAACAGTAGATAGTAGCCAAAGTAACGTATATTCATCAAAGCAAAATGTGACTTTACACATTGTTTCAGACAAAAAGCAAAACTCTTCATTTACACATTTTATTGATTAAATACAACAAAGCGTAATGGTCCGTCTTCACAGTTTTTGAGAGGGCAGAAATTTGTGGCATTCATGTTGAATGGAAAGAATCAGGAGTAAATACTTGTGTATCACTGTGGTGGTCTTACCTGTGGCAGTGGTTTCTGGTAGACTTGCATGGCCAGCATGACAGGAGCAGCTGTGTTCCAGTTGTAGTACCTACAACAGGTGACAGAGGAAGCTATTATGCACCCCTTCATTCTTAAAGACATCTACTGGCAAAGGATGGCTTACATATTAGCAAAAAAAGAAAGAAAAAAAAAAGCTTGTATATATCAGACGCTCAGTTCAAATAAAGAGCAGTAGAAGTACATACTTGCTTCCTATCTTGACCACAAGGTTAGGGTCATCAATAATAGAAGGGTTTTCAGAGAACTGTTGGTAGGAAACAGCCTTCTCCATGAATTGCTCTGTAGCAAGAACAAATGAGAAAAAAAAGATCTGATTGATAAGATAGTTTTTTCATATAATAACTTATTTTTGTCTAACTGTGTGAAATCTTAAAAATCTATTTATTTCTGTTTAAAATATGTAAAACATGAACCGACCTGCATTTATGAATATTGTTAAAGTTTTCAAATTAAAAAATATAATCTGTTGTTTTTAATTTCTTTCATATAAGCCTTATCTCGACAACTGCAAATATTTCATGTACATTATTTCCCTATTATTATCCAACGTCATCATTCCCTGTCCCACCTTTTGTAATCTCCCTGTTATCAGTGAGTCCTCCACACAAAGAGATGGCGACATGAGGTAGATCACACACTTGATCCACCAAACTGTCCACGCCACTGTCCACCCCGCTGCTGCCCACTGACTGTGGGGATTGGTTAGCGCTCCGCACACCCACCATCATCTCAGTGTCCCCCTTCATCGAGCTGCTGCCTCCGTCACTGTGGAGGGAAAAATACACACACATGGATCACACAGTAATTCTTCATACTATCATGCTATACTATGTGAATAATGGCTAAAATGTATTTAGTACACTTCAAGTTCTTCAAGGCTAAATTCAGTTTTGGAAATTGGAGTTCTCGAAGACCTTGAGAGGAGGAATATCTGTCTTCTCTTAGTTATAAAGAAGTTCAATGGCTGTTACCATGTGGTGACAAAAATACAACTGAAAGAAGGTCTCCTTCTTTCTCGTAGCCTAGCTACCTCATTAATCTTCCTCATGCTATCAAGTTAAAATAATCTCCTATTATAAGCACTTACAGTGAAGCAAGTGCTTAGTTATAGAAAAAAACCCTAATGTTATACAAAAATCATCCATAAAGTATTCTGTGCTCTGTGTGTCAGTGGAAAGAAATACTGTGATCCCTAATATGGCCACCAGAGGGTGCTACAACACATGCTGTACATACGTTTTAGGAAAGTAAAGAGCAGCTACTTCAGGCTCCAGTTCTGTAATGTCATCCAGGTAAATACCATCAGCACCCAGGTGTTGACTTCTCTTTTCTAGAAGAGACATTTATCAGTGCATAAAAGAGGAAACAGAAATTTAGACACACTGAGATCAAGATATCCTTTGTTTACGAGCAGAAAACTCAAACAGTACCTTTCCTCTTGGACGGTGAATCAGTCCTTTTGATGGGACTATTCCTGCTATCTTCCAAATGATCAGGAAGAATTCTTTGAGACACTGAGCATGTTGTCAAACTCTCCATCTGTACACATGACGGCCCAACGCTTTCCACTTCTCTCTCTAAAGGAAAAAACGCAGCATTTCTCAAAGCATTTTAATGTGACGCTATGCAAATCTATCCTGCTTTTAGATATTTGTACATTCAGTTATTATTATTATTCTACCTTGTTCTCTGACAATGTGTCCATTTCTGTTTTCCTCTGTGTCTTTGTCCAGTGGTGGCACTGGACTGCATGGAGTTCCCGTGTCACTGATGGCTCGGAAGTGAGTGCTAGAAGACACCGGTATGGAGACAACAGCAGCAGAATCCTGCTTCTGGTGGGCGGTCAGGAAAGATGGCTGTAAAAGAAAAACAGATAGTCAGTTCAGACAATATTTGCTTTCTCACATACATTTTATTAACCCCACCCCTTAGTCATGTTTCCTTTTCTCCACTCATACAGGCTGAAGTCTTAACATTACTTATAAAACAGATATGGCTTTGTTGGTTCTGATCAGCAGGTGGAATCAGTTCAGAATCAGTTCAGTTCAGAATCAGCACATTTGTGTCCATTTGTTTGACTTTGGGTGTGCAACCTATGCAGACATACTTTAGTGTAGTCCTCCAAGAAACTAACAGTGTGTAGCCTAATGTTGATGAAGCTGTGTGTCGACTGATACACAAAGTGGATCAGCGTGAGTAGTAAAGGGAGCAACTGTGGAGCGCAACCCGAAGGCGAGAAGCATGAAAAAACAAAAAAAGCAGCACAAGAAGTGTTAATAATGGGTGTGGTGGACAGTTTTCATTGTTTGCACACTTTATTTTACCTTGACTCTTTGCATGTTATAACGCAGTAAACAGCTACAACATGCAGTTATATGTATATATTGTATTTTATGACCATGCAGTTGATTTAAATGCTGCCATACCCAAAAGGCAAAGCCAACAGACTCAATTCACTATGTGATGCCATGTGTGGTTATGTACCTGGGCAGCCTGTGGTAACTCCCCCCAGGTCCATAGCATCTCAGGGTTGTCCTTAGATGGATTTGTTAGCTCTGAGTCACTCTTTGGTGTTGATGACTGCGAATCGTCTGGGCTACTGGAAAAGTTAAAGTCAAACATTTGTTTTGGATTGTCTGGTACTTCACAGTTTCAAAGTTACAAAGTTACAAAATGTATCATTCTTTATGCAAATTTTGAAAATTAGTGCATTATTTCATATTTAGTGTTCAGAGAGGGTGGAATCTAAGGTGATACCTAGTAGGGGAAGAGAAGTGAGAGGACTGCTGAGGACAGGAGATGGATAGACCACAGGGCTGAGGAATGGACAGAGTCTTCTTAATCAATTTACTACAGAAAGAATAAAGGACAAAAAGAATACAAAAAAAAGAGAAGGGAAGAAAAGAGAGAATGAAAGACAGTGAATTGTGAATCCATCTAATTATCATGAGGACAAAAAACATATTAAAATGTGCAATATGCTATGAACAGAATAAATAAGGATTTGATGAGAAGAGTTTATTAAAGAGTTCAAGTGTGTGTCTCTCAGTGTGACAGACACACACCTACATCCAAATACCTCTGTGAATGAGTCCAGTCAGTGCTGGGGAGAATGTGGGCATTGGCAGTCAATCCCTGATCGCCATACACAGGTCTGATCACAAATACACACATCCAGTGAGATGTCAGTCATGTGCACAACCATTTTATTTCATCATTAGTGCAGACACTTGTATTTACTATGTAAACAGTGTGTCGATGCAAGTCGTATCACATCCAAGAAACTATGGTATGGTCTTTTTATTTGTTGAAAATTAAAATGTCATGGGCTGTTTGACTGTGACCGCATATCACAAACCAGCCAAGGAAATACACTCATTAAGTACAATTTAGAGAATGACTTGAAGCACGCAAACTTTTTTTGCTTGTCTTTAAGGGTTTCAGGATCATGTGGCAAACTTCCTAAAAAAGGCTTGGAATGCCTTCAGTAAGGATGACCCCGTGAGCCATTCTTTCAAAGAAACAGTGCGCGCTGTGGGAAACGGACAAATCCTTGGAGCAAGTCCAACAAGCAGAGCTAGTTCCCAAGAGGGCTTCACACATGAACACAAACATGCACAAACCTGCACACACACATACAATTGCTTCTCTTTAAACACTTAAGAAAATTGTTTATTTATTAAACAGAAACTAACCTTAATTCCATTTAACACCGGTTAAAGAGAAAATTGGTCCTGGTTTTCAACATAAACACACCACATTGATTTTTCTGATGCCTTCTCACTGTTTTGAGCTGTGCAGGGCTTGCTTAGACAAATTAAAATCTAGCAATGTTTGAATATGAATCTGTTGAAAGCAGGTGGGCTGTTTGTTATTGCCATTCAAATCTGATCAAACTACACCGACACAGCAGTCCTCATGAAGCACATGTTCTAAAGTTTTCAGTGTTATATTCTTCTCTTATTAAGTACTTTTTCAACACATATTTTAATTGGAGATAAATTATTGGAATTTCAGGAGCGGGACCACACCTCCAAACATGCTCCTTCCGATTCTTATCTATATTTGTTCCTCCAGTTCTACAAGCTGTTCATTCTCGTTTACGTGCCCCACCCTCCATCCCCTCTTCAATTCTCCCAAGCAGATCTCGGGATCTGCTTGGCCCGGGAGCCGCCACCAGGCCCCTTTGAGGCCTTCCCCAAATCACAGTTCAATTCACGTCCAAGCCATTCACCTTTATCTACTAAAACGCTGTAAAACCTAAAATGAGGACGTAGGCCCAGATATGAATATATATATATATATATGTAATCTGTGATTTAAATTATATAAATACACACCCAGCTTTTAGACAGTTCAAACAGCCACTTAAACACATACCCATGAATGAAAAATGTAAGCACACACACACAAACACACACAGGTTTTCCACTTAACACAGTTAAGGAATTATTGGCAGTGGTTCATCGGCTTCGCATACAACACTGTGACAACCAACAAATGTTTTTTCCCCTGTTAAATACCAGGCTGGCAGGTATAATAACCTCTCTTTCTTTCTCCCTCTCTGTTTCATACACGCAAACATATTCAAACTTTCTCTTGCACACACACACCTGCTGCTGTCCCCCTCCATTTCCTCATCTGAGCTCAGGTCAATAGTGAACATGTCCTCATCATCTGAGAACTCTTCTCCACTTTCCTCTCTCCTCAGTCCTGCGCCTCCTCCACCTCCCTCTGGCCGTGCCTTCTTCTTTCTCTTTCTCCTCTTCTTGGTCAACCCTCCTTCACTTTGCTGCAGTCCCAGATTCTGAACAGGAAGCGGGCCGCATGGGATGGAGTCTATATGATGGGAAAGAGTATCATAAAAAACTGTTTATGAAAATGCAAATTGTCACAAATTCTAACATCGCTGTTTTCAACGGCGCCTACCATGGTGACGAGAGTTGCCCCTGGCCAGATGTGACTTCATTAACTCCTGCCCTGTTGACATGATTGGTGATGTTGCCAGGTAGGATGGAACCACTTCCTGTTTCCAGGGAAAGTGAGATAAGGTCTGAAATTAGCAATACTTGACGCAAGTCTTTTCTGCTGTACCATCTCTTGTGTAGAACACAGCATCTATAATAGCTGCTTATACTGACATGAGAAGTGCTTCTACTTTTGTTTTTTTAATTATTATTATTGCCTTATTGAGAACTCTTTGTTCATACATTTAATGATGCGGTTGTCTTCTTTGGTTTAAGCCATTTGCTTTGGTTCTGTGACATTTATATCTGGAGTTGTTAAGAATTATTACACAACAGCAAGTAAAAATTGCCCTCAGAACAGTTGTAATATAAAATAGATTGAGAATCCAATCATGTAGGATAAGATGCATGAATAAAGTGGAGCATTTTAAGGTCCCATCACCCTCTCTACAGCTGGGGGTGATGAAAACGCCTTGAGTATAGCAGGTAATGACCAGGCCAAATATGTTTGTTCTCTGTGAAAATGTCATAGCAGTCCATATTGCAGATTGCTGATTTTTCTATTCTAAAGGAAAATGAAATATTGCAACAACAGATATGGTCATTCCTACTGCCAAACAGCCACCTAAATAATCTGGTGAAAATTTGAGCTCAGATAAGCAAAATCACAGAGATTTGCTCATCAGGGTTGCACTGCCAAGAGGCTGCCACAAGAATAAAGAGAGACAGAGAGAGAGAGAGAGAGTGGGGGAGGCGGAGGCATGATAAAGGGATGATCCAAACAGAGCAGACTCACACATGCCTTGCAGTTCACGTGTCATAGCACAGTCCAACACAGCACAATTCATTTAGACTGGAGAGGAAAAGGGATAGTACTGAGTACAGATCTACTCTGAGCTCTATACTCAGAGGGAAATATCAGCTCGAAAGCCAGTTTTAGTTCAAGTATTTAAATTGTTTTTGTTTTTTTACTCCAATCTGTTGATATTTCAGTTTCTCACTGAACTATAAGTGTTATTCCCACAATTTCCTTAGAAAAAGAGCATTTGTGCACAAATATAGAGTTCTTAAACCACACAAGATCAACTATAAAGCGATTTGTTTATATGCTGCAAAATGCAATGTAATAAATAAGATTACTTCAATTACTGAGTAAAAATCTTTCCAACACTTTGGTTTTACATCTGTGATATTTGCATTAAAGGGTTGTTAAATGCACATGCCATAAAGATAAAGAGAGTAATAATTCTCTTTATGTGTCACCCTTTAAGGCACAAAATCATTAAGTTACATCATCGGAGATGTTTCTTTTATTAAAGCACTGGTATTGAAAGAAGTGCATTTATTTGATCATGCACAAACCCCTGCAAACTTTGCACCTTGAGAAACAGAGATGAAGAGTGTACAGAGTGTCCATTTCGACTTGAGATGTGACAACTTAGACTGACACAATCTGCAAGCTCCCATGATAATGGTTCTTTTACCTCTTCATGTGAGTGACAAACACACCGTGCTGTGCTACCATTGTGCTATTACCAGCTAGAGGTTTTATGTCCTCGTACTGCTCCTCTTTCATGACATGTACAGTATGTCTCAGTAATTTCCGAGGGCAGTCTGTGTGTAACAGACTATACCGTGTGTGAAATGGCAGACCTATAAATAGGTCTCCGGTGGTTTTCCACTCTCTGGAGAGAGAGTTATGTTAAGGGAAAGGATTCAAGTCGAGACCAAAACTATAAGACAAACATGGTCAAACCGAATTTGCAAATAACTCTATGTGGAACTGAAACTAAAAGCCATTATTTTCTTGTCTATTGTGGAAAGAGGTATTATAGTATTGATTTATTAATAGCTTCTTCTCTATAAGATGGACAGTAAGTAATGGATGCAGCATTAGATGGACGTAATCCTTCGGAAAAGGAATTTAGAACCTCTCAGATTGCAACATATTCCTTTTCCTTCTTGGCCAGGGGAAAGTGCGAGCTCTTGGTTACTCACCACTTCACGAGTAACATTGTGACTGCTGACAGATGTTGTTTACCACAATAGATCATCCTTGAAGTACCTCTCAACCTCAAATACTCCCATACTCCCTCCTACCTCCCATGAGACGTTACCTATTGCATTACAGAATCAGGTTTCAAAACAGAAGGGAATGTTCCCAGATTATGCTGTTACCTGTGACGTGTATGTGCATGTGCGCTGCAAATACCTATGTGTAATACGGCGTATTACAGATACATGAAAAGTTAAAATCTGACAGATTAATTCAGTTTCAGGGGATTGAGGCAAACCAGTGGGTAAAGTCTATGGTTGAATAATGTGAGCCATTTCTATTACAGATGGCCCAATTTATCAGTTGAACATTGTATCTGTTGCCATTTGCCTGGAAGCAAATAAACTGGTGTCTGGCACTGGCAATAGTCAATGTCTGTCTGTCCTCGCATGACACTTTTGTACTGCGTAAATGTTCATAAGAGCTTTTAGACTTTAAAAACAAATGTCTTTGTTTCCCTGGCTGAAATGGGAAGAAAACGACAAACTGTTGCCTGCTCCTGGCTAATTGTTGGAAGTAAGAAAACACCCTGTATAACATAGTTACAGGTCCAAAACAACACAAAACACATTTAGGCAAATGTTGCTATGAATTGACACTATATGAATCAGTCATTCATTTCAATCAAATTTCTTTTTCTCCACCCACATATCAAAGTTAGACAATGACAGACTGTCGACTGTGTGTTTAGTGTCTGACTGACCAGTGTTTGTCTCTGCTTTCTGCTTGTCATGATGGTTTATTTCTGGGAAGCTAAACTCGTGTTTGCCAAGAAGATGCCACAGGAGGACAGAAGCACTTGTTGTGCCTTGTTATTGAGCCTAGTGTTTTGCTAAAATGTTTATCTGCTTATCTACAAACAAGTTGATAAGGTCTATGCTTGGATTTTTTTCCCCCAAGTATGACAACACTAGGATATTTTATATACACGTGTAAATAAAAAAGGTACTCAATTCATAGAAAACCTCATAATATTAAGAAATTTTGAAGTATATTTTACACTCCTTAAAGCTGTGTGGTAAAACTGACGCCGCGAGTGAGTCAAGGTACATCTTTTTTCTTACTCTGGGCTTGTCAGGGCAGGACGAGAAGACATTTAAGTTTGGCAATTAAAGTAACAACAACGTGTAGTTGCAGATTAATCAGTGAGTGGTAAAACCAGTGAGAATCGCTACTACCTAAGAGGGCAAATAATAATTTAGCTCTGTTGGAGCACAGTGATAAATCAAGCACTTCTTGTATATTAGTTCAGGCTTTATGACCTTCATATCTGCGAGTAATGTTCTGTGCTATTCTCGTGTGTGTTTACTGATTCAGGAGTAATGACTCTGTCAATCACTACTCACCATTTTGTTCTCAGTCTCTTTAACAAAGAAAGCCTCTCCATTTTCTCCCAGCTTCATGTGTAAGCTCACTGGCTCTCCATTAATTTCTATGTCCACCTGCAGAACAGAACAGAAAAAGAATTGATTAAGACTAATGCCTTAGACTTCATTAGCATTTCCTGACAACCTCCAGACTGGAAGGTTGAGAAGACCAATGCAGTACCTTTAGGCTATAAAAAATAAATAATAATCTGTTATAACCTAATGTTATCATTAAGATACTGACTCATGAGTTTTAGTGATTGAAGTCCTGTTTTAAATATACTGTTATAATGCACTGTTTTAGTTTATTTTTTTCAAAAAATATACTATAGCGCTACACAAATGAATGCAGATTAAATTTACATATATTAAAATTTACATTTAGCTGTCGTGAAATATAAAATAGATTTTGAACAAGTGCAGGTTAGAGAGCGCTCTATGATCTCACCACTTTCTCACGTGACCGCAGCACACCCATCTTGCCAAAGCGGACGTGAAACGGAGAGCACTGTAAGGAGCCATCTGGCTGCCGGACCACAATGACATCTATACACCCAGACAGTGTTGCAGGGTTGAGCCCTCTGTACAGCTCCTTGACCTGCACAAACACCTGCCCCGCCAGCTGACCCACATAATTCATGGTTTGCAACTGGGAGATAGAGAGTGAGAGAAGAAATATAGGAGATTATTCATCTGTTTTAGTCACGTTTCATGTCTTTAACGTCAAAACACAATGCAAGGCCATCTTGTTACATAATTACACATTAAGACACATTATTGATATACTGAGTCCAGTTTGTGCCCACTCATGCCAGCTAACTGCATAATCTCAAGTGGTTTCTGGCAGGTTGCTGATACCTCAAGCAAAGACAGCTTCATCATTCTTTTCTCTACTCTTGTGGTGCTTCTGAGTGCGGGGTATGTTTGTGGGTGTGACCAAAGTTGGTATATGAGAGCATTCTGCTTTTCAAAAAAGACAGAATGAGGGGGTGGGTTTCCCCCCCACCAAAAAAGACAGCATTATAAACTCTGAAGCGCATTTTTCTTTCTGTAGTGCAAATATACAGTCCATCAGGGATGTCTGGCATTACTCTAGTACGGCAAACATGCTCTTGTGAGCGCGTCACAGACAGGGAAATGCCTTCAGTGACCTCCAAGATTTATGGTTGTGAGTCATGGAGAAATGAACAGCAACCCATCTGTTATGAACTGAACAGCCTTATTAATTTTTTATGAATAAACAAGTTGATATTTCATAAGCCTTCTTCTGTTGTACTGTTGTACTGTCTTTGCAATGTACAACCTAATAGCCCTACAGCTATGATGGCTTATTAATAGTAGCCACTATGTAATAGTCAATGGTAATTGTAACCAGATATTTTTAGAGAGAATGTTTAAAAATATATAAATCCCCTTTCGGTGAGAGGCATACAGAAACAAGAGGGAGAGTGGGAAAAGGTTACGAAAGGGTGGTGAGGCCACGTGCAACATGGGTTTAAACACATTCAAGAAAATTGTAACCACCTGTCACCTGCTTGTGCTGACTAAGATAGTGTCACATACACAAACATTACAGCACGCCCAGTCGGCAGATGGCTTCGTGCTTCAGCAAACTGTGCAAGAACGCTGATGATGAGGATGATTCATTAACACGCATCAATTATTGAACATCCCCCAGACTGGGGATCTTTTGTTCTAATGGCCTAGCTTTATTCCACTGCTCATCAAAGCCACATAAGTCAATCATCACACCCTTGGTCTAACCAGGCCACAACAAAAATAACACAACACACCACAACACTGTTATTAGAATAACGACTACACGCTGTGCACCTTTCCTTCTTTTTTTGCTTCTGCAGAGGAGTGTGGTAGAAAGCGGCTTAACTTCAGTGATATCCATATATCGTACAAAGTAACCCATAATGCTGTTCATGGAAATCAAAATGATTAATATGTGTTCTAAATGTTTATTCAACATTCTTTCTTTTAACATGGAAAGAAAATAATAGGGTGGAATAGAAACTGTAGTGATAGCTATCGAACATACTTTGCAAATGTACAAATTTGCATATAACCTCATGGGAGAAATTATGTTCTTTTTCCTTTGGTAGTTTGTTTCAACATGTCAGTTTCTATGGTGCAATTTCGAGCATTACAAATGGGATAGGCAATAATTATTTGATCCCTTGACCCAACTCTGACTCCCTGGACCTCTTGTCCATTTATTTCAACACCATGAATATGAGTCCATCAATGTTCATGCCACAGACCTGACATCACGGTAAACAGAAATCTCCCGCAAACACATCTCTCTCTCCGTTAATCTCTCTCTCTTTCTCTCCCTCACACACACACACACACGGCCAAAGCCATGCCCAGTCCTCCAGGACGTTTCTGTTAAAGAGCCAATCACACTGCTCCTCAATTACGTAATAACCTATCACGAGTCCACCCAAGGGGTCATTATGTGTCATTAAATGGACATGCAGCACAAGAAACAAAACAGTTAGGCTACAAGAACCTGATCTCAGTCACTGCTGTTCTTTTTCGGACAAGTGAGCAGCAACGCTGAGTTGCATTCACAGTGTGTGACATAGTGTGCTGAGGCTTATTTATAAACATAAAACATCAGTGGCCTCTCACCACAGGAAAGACAGTGTGGCCACCAAACACGGACAGGATAGCTGAGAGGTAATTGAGAGATTGAGGGATTTACAGACAGATGATAATGCGAAGGATTATCCAATTAAATCAATTTAATGTGACTGGAGCAGCCAGACACACCGGGATTATTGTCTGTGACAAATGATAGCTAAATAAAACAAAAAAGGGAGGGGGAGGGCAGAGGGGTTCTATATATTAGACAGCACTTTACTAAATCACTATACCGTCTGAAAACGCACACCACGAAATAAAACCATAAATGCATATATTATACCTATATACAAATATATAAACAAATACTGTCACAAATATTGTGGATATTCCTCTTATGCAGGATGTGAAGAGAAGCTGCATCAGTACGGGATTGATAATTACGTCGTAGTGTGGCTCTGTGGCGACATGTAAACACGGGGTGAGGCTCTGCAGTCTGCATCAGGACTCTGTCTTCATTCAAACAGCCCAAGCAATATATAACACCTGTACTTCAAAAATACCTAGACCCCATGACATGTCTCTCACAGCATGCTACAGAAGCAATGTAGTCTTTGCTTACATTATTTATGGACGTCGCTCTTCCCTCCGGAATATTTCTTCCTTCCGAATTTTCCACTAAGGGTCCTCTACTGTTTTACGGCGTTAAGTGTCAGTGCTCAGTACAAACATCATCGGTAATATTCACACTCTTACAGCTTTGTTGACATCTGATCTTGGCTTCTGTGCTCGAGGCTGATATGCGTTTTAAATCGTATGCCGCGTTCACGTTACCTTGGAAATCGGACGCATGAATCGGGAGTGACGTCACTCCAGTATTAAAGTCTGGAAAACACGAAAAACAGGATTTGTTTTTACTTCTTAGCAAGGTACAGTCTTTTATGCACCACTAATAATACTGGAAAATACTTTTACTGTTTTTAACACATATTTGTGCACAGAAACTGCTCAGTGCTCCGCCTATGGCTTATTTAGCGAGCACGACAGTGCAGATTACAAGTTTTACAGTTTAATTTATGACACCTCGGATTGTTAACTCGATATTAATGGGGTTGTTGCGACTTCTCCGGTTGGAAGTCAGAGCTGGTCGTTCCAGACGAAAAATAAGACTGCAAACTCGGAAATTGACACTTCCAAATTACTCTGGAACGCACCACGTGGATTAAATATTCCTCCCTCCACCACAGAGCTGCAACCTCGGACCGATCGATTGGCTGAGCACCGATGACGCCACACAATGTTTGCTGAACAGTTCCCTGAAAAAAATCAGTTATGACTATATTATTGTTTTATATCTGCTTGTGTTTACTGTTCACACTTTCTAATTCCTGCATTATACTTTAATATTTCTTTAAAAAAAAAGAAATTACATGCAACAACTTTATTAATAAAGTAATTTTAAATCTTATCATAAGCCCCTATAAAGGTAAATAATTATGTTGAAAAGGGACCATTTGACCTCAAAACTCGTTGAAAATATTTCACAAATGCACAACCGAATTATACATTTCAATATTATATTCTAATGTAATTAAATAATACCTCTAATAATTATATATAGATAGCGTACTATATCAATTACTATATCTATATATAGATAAATGAATATATAAAATATGTAAATGCTATATGTTAGTGTAAATTCACTTCTTGTTTCAGTGAGAAAAGGATTGTCTAAGAGCAATGCATACATAGCTTACAGTTTTTAACAACTTTATTTTAATAACTGACTAAATATCCTTAGAGTAAAATACAGGTTAAAAAGTTTGAAAATCATTACGTTTTATTAAAATTACATTAATTACATATTACATGTGATATAGCATCCTTCTTTGGAAACAGGGAGGATTATCCGAGACATTTTCTGAGGACACATTGGGGTTAAATAAGAATTAAATTCTTCAGCAGTGATGACATATTAATGTCTTTCATGTTTTAGTTGATTGAAACGTCACATTCTACATATAATACAGTACATAGCAGAGTATTGACTGTAACATCATGGGAAAACTCAAATTACTTAGATATGGCATCATTAAATCACACTGTATTCATTTCTACTGAAATCTACCCAAGAGAAAAGGAAAAGAACCTTGTTCTAATTCTGAAGACATGCAAGCCTGGTATGAGAAGCCAAGGAGACAAGAATAGCACTGACATTCAGGGAGCTTGAAGGCATCAGCATTGTGCAATGTACTGACTGTATCTCAGTGGTCAAAAGTCTACCCATCTGTCCGGAGAAACTAAACCTGTAACTGCAGTTGGTAGTTTATCTATCTAATACATTGCTATAAAAAAAATAAAAATGAAGGAACACTTCATCGACTGAATTCAAAAATCAAAGTGAAAAATTGATGCAGCAGTAGGCTAATCGATTTTGCCCAAATTTCTTAGCATCTATTTAAAATAGTCCTCAGGTTGTATGGCCTCCGCATGCCTGACAGCGTTGGGGCTTTTAACGAGACAATGGCTGGACCAGGTTATCACTGAGCTCCTAGAAAGTCTGAGGTGCAACCTAGCAGTGTAAGATGGACTTGAAACAGGTCCCAGAGGTGTTTTATTGGATTTAGGTTGGGTGAGCGTGGGGGCCAACCAATGGCTTCAATTCCTTCATCCTCCAGGAACTGCCTACATACTCACCGCACATGAGGTAGGACATTGTTGTGCACCAGGAGGAACAGAGGAGCCACTTTACCACTGTAGGGTCTGACAATGGGTCCAAGGATTTCATCCTAATACCTAACACTTGTCAGGGTGCTGTTGCCTAGCCTGTAGAGATCTGTGTGTCTCTCCATGGGTATGCCATCCTGGTCATGCTGAGTGATTTTGCATGCAGCATGATATTCTCTACATCTTCTCCAGACCCTCCAGACGTTTGTCACATGTGTTCAGGACAAACCTGCTCTTATCTGGGAAAAGCACAAGGTGCCAGTGGTGGACCTGCCATTTCTAGTATTCTATGGCAAACACCAGTCAGGCCTCATGGTCCTGGCAGTGAGCACAGGGCCCACTGTAGAATGTTGGGCCCTCAGGCCACTCACATTAAGTCTGTGTCTGATTGTTTGTTCACACCAGTGGCCTGCTGGAGGTCATTTTGTAGCTCTGGTGGTGTTCATCTTGTTCATCCTTGCACAAAGGTGCAAATACCGGTCCTGTTGATGGGTTAAGTATCTTCTACAGCCCTACACAGCTGACCTTACTGCCTGCCTCCTGGATTTTCCTCCATTCTCTTGACTAAGTTTGGAGGCACAGCAAACCTCCTGGCAATGGCACATATTGGTGCACCATCCTAGAGGAGTTGGACTACCTATGCAAACTCTGTAGGGTCCAGGTATCACCTCATGCTACCAATAGTTACACTGACCCTAGCCAAATGCAAAACTATTCAAAAAACATTCAGAAAAGATAAACAAGGCACCATACATCACAAACTGTGTTGCACTGTGTAATCTGACACATTTCTATCAGAACCAGCATTAATGATGATGATGAGATAATCAGTGTTATTTGCTTTACCTGTCAGTGGCCATAATGTTATGCTTGACTGGTGTATATACTTTATAGATGTATATACTTCAACAACTGCAACCTTAAGCAAAATCATATCCTACGAGGAGGGTAATATAATCCTTTATTCCAACAATATAAAACAGCAGATTTTAAATTGTAAACGAATGCTTGTAATGTTGTTTTTTTCCCATTTCATAATTTCGGCGAAATGCTCTTATTCACTTTCTTGACTTGACTTGATGAGAAAACTGATAACTCCCATATCTATAGTCCTCTGTCAGATGTTTCTAACTATAATCCATAATCTGATAAAGTTACATTTATATATGGCGCCCTGAGTTGAGTCTGTACTCAGAGTTTAGAAAAACAAACACAAAAGTTTCGACATAAAGTCTCCCCGAACTGGGTCTCATGGCTTTTTCCTGTTACTCAGTGTTTCTAAGAACCAGATCAACTCCCATCCAACTGCCCCCACGCCTGCTTGTTCTAGACCTCTGTGTGTGTTTGTGTGTGTATGTGGTCCGCATGAAACTGCAATCCCACGTGATACAGTTCATGACTCTGTGGATCAAATTCTGCTGTCATTACAAATATACCTTGCACCGCCTTGCTGTGGAGCACTTTATCATGGTGTCACACACACATACATTGCACCAGGCAGGGGGGAGAAAGGAAACACGTGTTAGGTTTTCTAAGAACTGGAGCATTCAACATGCAGGAAAACATAGCCAACTAGAGTGGGAGAGGGAGAGGAGAGAAAGAGACAGGAAGAATACAGAGCAGACAATACAGCGAATCTGGAGAATGCTAATATTTGTTACTGCTGTGTGTGAATATATGACAGAAAGAAATAATTGTAGAGATGTGATGGTTTATTTACTGCAGTGTGTGAGGTCATCAGCGGGTCAGGTGCTCAACAAGGTTAAATGTATAATAATAATGATTTGCAATAAAAATAAGTACCATAAGTACCATAATATCTTGTGTGAAAGATACACATTTGCATTTTTATGTGTGAAGGGAATAAAAGTGAAAGCTGAGGATGGTTTTAGTGTAATCTCAGGAATTTCATTAATTAGACTGTGGCCATGTGGTTTTCGTGCATATGTGTGCAGGTTAATATTTGTCTTGTTCAGCCTCGAACTATATGTGACTGTGCATGTATGTACATGCTAAGTGTTTCATCTCAGTGTGTTTACAGTGCATGTGTGTATGTGTGGGGGTGGGTGGTTGCTGGCCGATAAGCTTTCAATTGCTCCAGTGATTGCCTTGCAGTGTTACTACATATCAGACACGTGAGAGTGCTTGCAAACGACTGGAGGGAGGTGGGTCGTTTCCTGAGGCAGGGGTTGCCTGATCTCTCACAGGCACTCCCCCTTTGGGCCACAATGCAATCTTTTCATCACCAAGGAGATGGGGGTGGTGTTTGGGGGGGTTGGCCTGCTTGAGCCAATGGTAAAGCTGCCTGGGCCACACACTACAGACCTGCTGAGTCTGACCCCACTGCAGTACTGCAGTGCATGCTACAGGGCTTTAGAGAAATCTGATTAGAGTGGATTCCAAGGCCAGACGTGAATGGTTAAAGCCACTGCCGCCAATCCTGTATAAACAACACTAACGTACAGCATGTTTGAGCAGCATGAGCATGAAACACTGACTGCTTTTGAAATTCTATATTCCAAACTGCGTCTATATTTGAATTAATCTTGCCCTTGCCTTGCAAACCACCGTAGAGAGTTTCTGGGTAATCAATAACAATCAATACCAATAACAACTAACTATAGATTAAGTTCAGGAAGATGTTAAAGTTGCAAAAGAAAAATGTGGGGTCAAAGCACTGCTGTGGAACAGCATCACTGACTGATGTGTTATATACCTTTATAACACGTGGGCTTGAGGTAATGTGTGGAGATATCAGCTGCTAATCCAACACGTGATTTGACTGCACACACAGATAAGAATTCATCAACTCTATTTACAAAACCAGCAGACATGCAGAAAATGCTGTGTCCTACACTTCCTCCATCTGCACACAGTGCTCCTTTTTTTTTTTTTTTTAGCAATTTTCTTCTTTAGTCCCTCTGAAATCTTTCTGTCTTTACATTTGATTATATTAGCAATTTCACTCCAGACCCATTTCCTCACTGCTTGTAGTGTTTTGGGTTCCTTTTTATTTTATTGATTTAATGTCAATTAAGTTTATAGTACGAGCCTGAACTTATGTTATTCTGCCTGCCTCATGCATCCGTGCAGTATATATTTAGTTTTGTTACCCAGGACCAGCTGCCATTGGGGCTTTCATCTTCACTGTGGCTGGTGAAGTCTTCCTCTTCCATGTCCTAAATGGCTGCTTCTTAATGAAATGTTCTTCAAGGAGTCTCCAGAAATCTGAAATATTCCTTACATGTAACAGACAAAAAAAAAAATCAACAAAGAAGCAGTTCAGTCCTTTTAGATGGTTGATATGTCAAAAAGCTGTGTAGTAGTTACTGATTTATTTAAAGCTATATTTTATGAAAACTGTCTTCTGGTATGAAAAAACTATCTTCATGACAGTGAAAAAGCAGTTCTTAGTGTATCTGGACGAGTCCTTAGACTGTAATGTGTACTGTTGTTTTGACTGAGCTGCTAATGCTTGGGCAGCAAATGTTTTGGACTAAATTTATCAACAAGCGTTTTCTGGGAATGGAGTACTTGGGAGGAAATCTGAGAGCATCCGCTGCTGCTGTACTATCCTGCTGCTTCAGATGCTGATCTGACACCACATGACAGCAAAATTATATAGGACTGAAATGTTACATGGATAGGCTATAAAATCTTTGTACTTGAAGTATACACTGGACCAGAGATAGACATATAATGTAGCTATTAAAGTTTGCTTTTTGTATAGAGTGAGCCTTTATGATGTCTCAGGTTTTACATTTAAACAAACACAAGTTATTTAAAATGTCTGTACATTTATACAGTTAAAAGCATACAAAATTGTACATACAAAATACAGTCAATTAATGTTTCTTATACATGTACAAACAAAATAATCACACAGCCTTCTGGAGCACAAAAAATGCCCTGCATCCGATATAAACAGCTCAGGATTCTTATTCTTGCACAAACTGAAACAAATTTATTTTTTACATGATAACAATCTGATGAAATATAATTGAAAATATTTGATATGTAAGAACATACAAGCAAAACAAGCATCTACAAAAATAACCCTACAAAAATATCGACAGAAGCCAGCTACCATGTCACACAAACGATTGCCTCCACGTTCCTTAAAGCTCTCCGTGTTGCCTGCACCTGCAAAAAAAATCTAAACACTGAGTAATTCTAAACAACTGAATCTGCAAACAGATATCACAAAAATCAAAAGTAGCACTGTGAGTTACGGAGCCTAGCAACTTTGTTTTAAGGATAAAAATGCCTCTTTCCTGTGCACATACATTCCCCAGCCATCTCAGACAATCAGTATATCTCGCTGAGAACATAAATGTATTTCCAAAACATGAATATTAACCGATTTCATGGAGCAGCACATAAAGGTTAAAAAAAAAAACCCAGAACAAAAAAAAATCCCTTTCCTGTTTTTGTTCTGTTTGACAATTAGTAATTTCAGTCCTGTCTACGACAAGCCAAAAGTGCACATCTGCTTCAGTTATATGTGTTTTCCAGTCAGGAAGAAGAGCGGCCGGTCCTCTTTGGCATTGGCAGTCTGGAATTCATCACTGAGCCTAAACCTCCACTCTTCTTCCAGCTCCAACCTGCCCACCGTCTCCCTCAGCGAGCTACGATCTGCGCTGATGACACACAGAGTTGCACCTAAAGCAAGCAGAGAGGAGGGAGAGCGACACTCTTTAACAAAAGTAAATGGTATTTATATAGCGCTTTACTAGTCCCTAAGGACCCCAAAGCGCTTTACATATCCAGTCATCAACCCATTCACACACACATTCACACACTGGTGATGGCAAGCTACATTGTAGCCACCCTGGGGCACACTGACAGAGGCGAGGCTGCCGGACACAGGCGCCACCGGGCCCTCTGACCACCACCAGTAGGCAATGGGTGAAGTGTCTTGCCCAAGGACACAACTGTCCAAGCCGGGGCTCGAACCGGCAACCTTCCGATTACAAGGCGAACTCCCAACTCTTGAGCCACGATCACAACAAGAGCAAGAAATAATTATCAGATACAACAACGTGATTTTTTTTTTCTGTGATCAATATAAAGTGATAACCACTGACTAATTTGCTCTTATTTTGTGGGACTTAATGTAAATTATAACTGTTCTAGCTTTACTGGTATTTGTTTACTTAAGTAGAAGTGAAGAAGATTGCTGGTCTGATATTCAGAATGATATCAATCTGCTCCAAATTCTACACTGCATTGACTTCTTCTTAAATGAGTCACCTGTAACAGACACATGCTTATATTTGGTCTATATTTGGTCTGCTGCTGCACCTTTAAGGAAGGTGAACTTCTTGAGGAACCTGGGAGTCACAAAGGAGTCTGCAAAACAAAGGAGGAGGCCGCTGAACAGCAACCCTGCTGTACTGATGTTCACAGAATGAGGTCTGGAACTCACAAAACACACAGTCACCTACAGGAAGCAAGAAAATTAGAGTCTTTATGAAGTGTGTGTTGAAATATAATATTAGATATTATGATATGATATTAGAATTTCTTATTTGTGTAATTTCTTTTTAAAACCATGTCTACATGTATGTGTAGATGTGGAGTGTGTGTGTCTGTATACCTCAGGTCCCAGGTTAAGGTAGCAGTCCACAGACAGTACAGGGTGCGTGTAGTTCTTGGTGCTGAGTGGAAACAGTTTATGGCTGTTGTGCTGGAGATATTTTTCCAGAAGGAGCTGAGCTGGTGTAGCCAAGAAAAGGTGCTTACTGTCTGGGGCACAGATGTACTGTGAGGGGCTCACAGAGGTGGGAACATCTGTCATCTGGAGACAATATTTTTTGCTTATTAACAATAGCTTGTGAATTTAATAAGTTTTTTTTTATGTAATTGCAGAATGACAAGGAAAAAAATATCAATCACTATCTGTTGCCCAGTTTATGATTGCTAGTTTATGTTTTGATTTTGCTGACTGTGGACCACACCTTTGTCTTGATAATAAATGTTCTGTATCCTCCAATGGCGATCTGCTTCTTCATGACACTGAAGTTGTTGAACCTGCAGACAAGCAGCCCGGCACTGTGCAGCCTCAGAGTGAAATCGACGTCATGACAGGTGAAGCGGTTCTGGTCATACTGGACATTCTGACTGCGGTCAACATTTAGGAGGAAGAAGTCATGAAGATGACCTCGAGAGAAGGGTTCCCGCAGTACATTACCTGGTTTAATACAAAGGGAAAAAAAGTTACCATAAATATTATTTTAAGGCACAAACAACTTATTTTAAATAGTTGCTTTTTTATGTGAAAAAAATAATTTCTGATCAGTAAGTTTGTTTGCCGGATTAAGTTAGAAAAATGCTGGAAAATAATGGAAGCAACTGTGATTTGTTTTCTTATAAACAATCTGCTACACCTGCTTTTGGTGAGGTAAAATACATCAGGTAAAGTTGGGTGCACCCATTGACCTTTTTACCTCTTCAATATCTCTTTTTACTTTATTTTCAGTTGTTTAAGAGAGACCAAGAACCTGTAATGTACTGAAATTTGGCAGATATTATAAAGTTTAATAATTTATTATGAAAATAATATTTTTCAATGAAGAAAAATGGATTTTTGCATGAATATAATATCAGTTATAGCGCTTAGAAAAAAAAAAAAAGAAATTGCCAAAAATCAGTATCAGCTGGTCACAGGAAAAAAATCTGGAAAAAAAAAAATATATATATATTGCAGTCGGTGCATCTCTACTGCTATGGTCACCACTGACCTGTGAGCGCACGGCTGCTCCACTTCCTGATGCCACATAGACCATAGTGGGATAGGTCTGGACAGGCCTCCATGTGCTGTAGCACCTGTTTCAGTGACACAACGTGCTCTAGTGGGCCACTAAGGAAAACAGAAATCAAACACTGGTTGTGTTAAATCAAACCAGAAAATAAAACAACAAACAACAAGTCCTTTAACTCATACAATGAATTATGTTGTAAATAATCTGTCACTATGTACTTGCGTGCTTCTAGGTCTACTGTGTTCCACATAACACAGGAGTCATCAGCCAGGATGATGAAAGGCCAGACATCACCTGCTGGACCCCCTCCCTCCAAACGTCGGCTGCGTTCCAGCTCCAAGTTGTGATAGGAAAGCTCTTTAATCAGGAAGTGAGCAGCACCTGCGAGTTGGTTAAAAAACTTTAAAACTTGGGTTGACTGTAGCTGAGAAGAGCAGGTCATCTAATACTTGGAGGGTTGGTGGTTCAATCCCTGGCTGCTCCAGTCTGCATGCTAAGGTATTCTTGGGTAAGACAGCAACCCCAAGTTGCTCGCCATGCATCCATATGAATGCTAGATTAAGAGCACTTAGGCCTAAAAAAAAGGGCTTGTGTGAAGCTGGGTCAATGGGTGAATGAGGCAAGTCGCATAAAGTGCTTTAAGTGCTCAAGCTGAGTAGAAAACAGCTATATAAGAATAAGTCCACCAAAATGGTGATGAAGAAGATACTTTTGACTACTGCCTTATTCCATAAGAAGTCCCCACAGTTGATTGATCTGCATCATAGATTTTACACAGCATGGGCTTCATCATCCAGGATAAAATCCTCCCATTTATTGGGGGTAAACTAACTGCCGACCCTCCAGACTATGGAAGACTATGGATAACAGTTTACTTATTACTAACATGAGTAAAATACCTATTCCAGCACCATTGAAGACAGTGGGCAGCACCAGCATGATGTGGTTGGGCCAGTACTTTTTGTAGACGGCCATCTCATATTCTTTGACTACCAGGATATGTAGATGAGAGGCTCCATCCATGGCGTGGTACAGGTTAAACAGACCATGCTCGTGACGGCCGGTGGTTGGGGTGAAGATTGGACTCTTGATGCAGTCTGGGCTCTGGGAAAGTAGGGGGAAAATAAATTAAATAAAAATAATGCTAATAAAAAGAAAATTGTTATTTTTAATGTGAACTTTATTAATAAAATTCTGTATTACTATGTGGAAAAATAAATAAAAATAATGCATGCAGGCTATACTAACAGCATCCTCAGGATACCTCAGGATTTTATTTAAAAAATATATAGATTATGTTGAATTTAAACTCTGTTTAAAGTCCAGGTAATAGTCACAGATCAGAGCATTTCTGACTGATGCAAGAAAAAAATCTTGTAATTTCAAACAATACTTTCTCAAACCAGAATCTTTTGTTTGCATAATTTTGTGAAAACAAATAAGAACTGCTGGGCTGGTGGGACAATTTTAGCAATTGCTAAGCTAATTGCACCCCCTAGTGGAACCACCTGGGTGTTGCACTGTGGCAAACCCCACAAATCGCTTGTCTGTTCACAGAAATAGTCAACAAAAACAGCGGATGAAAATGTTCATGGAAGCAGACAAGGCAAAGAATTCCTTTTAAATCTTGACACACAAAACTTCAACTAAATTCTACGTCTCTATTATAATTGCCGCCTTTTTCTTGATGTGAGG